TTGGGGCGGGCAGCAGGGGCTCGGGGGGCTGCGGGGGGCTCAGAGGGGTCCCGGGGGGGGGCTCAGCAGGTCCCCGTGCCCCCCCAGCACCCACCCAGCAGGAAGAAGGTGTCGTGCTGGTCGCGGGCCGGGTGCTGCTGCGGCTGGAAGAGCGCGTCGAAGTTCCAGAAGGAGCTCTCCACGATCAGAGGGGTCCCGGGGGGGGGCTCAGCAGGTCCCCGTGCCCCCCCAGCACTCACCCAGCAGGAAGAAGGTGTCGTGCTGGTCGCGGGCCGGGTGCTGCTGCGGCTGGAAGAGCGCGTCGAAGTTCCAGAAGGAGCTCTCCACGAAGTTATCCGTGGGCATCTCCGTGAACCTGGGCAGCACCCCGGCTCAACACGGGGTGGGCTCCGCGCCGCGCCCACCCCCCAGAGCCCCCCACTCACCCCATCTCCAGGAAGATCTGGCGCAGCTCCGAGCGCACCTTGAGCAGCGGGTGCAGGTGGCCGCAGGCCGGGGGCAGCCCCAGCGAGGAGAAGTTGTAGGGTTTGAAGGGCAGCTGGCGCCAGGAGCCCCTGCAGGAGGGGCTGGGGGTCAGGCCACCAGCCCGGCGGGGGTCCTGGGGGGGGTCCTGGGGGGCACCTACGTGGCGATCATCTCCGGGGTGAGCTCGGTGTGCGGCCGCGCCACGGCCGTGCTGAAGGCGCTGCCCTTGCGGATCCAGAAGGACTTGAGGGTCCTGGGGAGGGGGCACGGGGGGCGTTGGGGAGCAGCCAGGCCCCCCAGAGCCTCGCTGGCTGCTTTAATTAGTGCTGGTCTCGTTAACGGGCAGCTGCAGGGGTGCTTGAGCAGCAGAAGCTTTACACAGAGGCTTTAACTGGGCTGTTGGATCATTGAAATCTCGATTGGGTGAGATTAATTGGGCTGATAAATCATTAAAACCTTGATTTGGGTGAGATTAATTAGGCTGATAAATCATGGAAATCCTGATCTGGGTGAGATTAATTGGGGTGTTGGATCATTGAAATCTTCATTTGGGTGAGATTAATTGGGCTGTAAAATGATGGAAATTTTGGTTTGGCTGAGATTAACTCGGCTGGTAGATCACTGAAATCTTGATTTGGGTGAGATTAATTGGAGTGTTAGATGATCGAAATCTTGATTTGGGTGACATTAATTAGGCTGTTGGATCATTGAAATCTTGATTTGGGTGAGATTAATTAGGGTGTTAGATGGCAATTTGATTTGGGTGAGATTAACTGGGCTGTTAAACGACTGAAATCTTGATTTGGGTGAGATCAATCGGAGTGTTAGGTAATGGCAATTTGATTTGTCTGAGATTAATTGGGCTGATAAATCATTAAAACCTCGATTTGGGTGAGATTAACAGGGCTGTTAAACGACTGAAATCTTAATTTGGCTGCAATCAGCCTTGCCAAAGCCCAGCAAAGAGACCCAAAGAGGATTAAAACCAGGGCAGGAACCCGCAGCCCTGCTCGGGCACAGCAATTAACAAACCCCAATTAAAACCCAGCCTTGGGGAAGGGGCGCTGCCACAGACACAACCAAAGCCCCAAAGAGCACGGCCACGGGTGCTAATTAAGGAGCAGAACGGCGCCGTTCAGGGGTAATTAAGGTTAATTAGCGTGCCCCACTCACACTTCCAGCAGCAGCTTCCTCCTCTTGAGCTCGGCGCGCTCTCGCTCGGGCAGCGCTGCCCCGGCGCCCACGCGGCACAGCTGCTGCTGCACGGCGTCCTGCACGGCGGGCACCTGCGGGGGCACGGGGGGCACGGGGTGGGCA